GAGAAGTGAAATATTCCTGAAGTGAGATACACGTTCATTTGTAAACTCTCTCTCTTGCACATTTCAATTATATAATATGAAATCTATTTATTTAATTGAGTCTTTGTATATCTGGAGGGGTGAGTGTACAATAGTTTTTTTAGCTTGTAATCCTGGTAAAGGTCGGGGTGTCGAGTTTCTCCAACAAGATGAGATGGAAAAGGGCCGGAAGTTAGGGTATGAGACGGGTGTTCGAGATTCAATGCGTGTTTTTGTAGCAGGTGGCTCCCAATGATGGCTCCGGAAATGTTTTTGCTGAACATCTTGATATAAGAGAGGCTTTAAGTAGATATCATACGAATTGGTTTTAATTGATGTTAAATCAGGTGCTTTTCAAACCATCTTAGGAATTTATGCAAATTTTGCTACTTGCTAGTTTACTTCTTTCATATCACATTTTTAGTGAATTAAGTTACTCACTCCTCAACAAAAACAGTTGCTCTATGCCTAACAGTTTTTTCCCTTCCTTGTAATTTGCCAAAATTAGACCGTATTTAATTAATACTTCGTATAGAATTAGTAATACATAAGAAGATGATGATTAATATAATTATCTGGTTGTATAAAGGTAATTATAACAATTTTCACAAAAAAGAAGAGAAAAATATATAGATCCCCACGGTCAGTCATAAACGTGAACTATTTTTTTTTTGTGAAAAAGAAGAAGTCCCAAGTCAAAAGAGGTCTAGAACCAACACTTCAAGAACAGTTGCCGAAGTCGAAAAGGACAAAAAATCATGCATTTGCAATTTCGGACCAACCAGTAGTGCCAGATCCGATTCCTAACAGGATCAGACTTGTCTCTCTTAAATTTCCAAGGAGACACTGGACCGCTTTGGCACTGGACCTGGGACCCGTCTAGGACCGGACTTCTAAGGGATTGTTTGCAACTGCTTCTGCTTAAAAAAAGTACTTTTGCAGATGTAAGGAAAAAGTGATTAGTAGTAAAAGTTGATAGTGTTTGAGAAAAAAGTGATTTTGAAAAGTAAAAGTTAGTAGTGTTTGGTAAAATAAGTGCTTTTTGTGTAATAGAAAAGGGAAAAGCACTTTTCATACGCAAGCCGAGAAAAAGTAAAAATTGGTAGTGTTTAGTAAATAAGTGTTTTTTAAAGCCAAAAGCTGAGAAGTGCTTTTTTTAAGCAGTTGCAAACACTCCCTAAATTTGCTATATGTGGACAATCAAATATAGCACGAGACCCACCCAATTCAACCAACACACGATTAAATATTTTCAGCAAAACCAAACAACACGAAGGATATTTTTGAGGTGAAATTAAGATATTTTGAGAGTGACTCGTAAATTTCGCCTCATGCTGATTAGAAGATATCATTGTTAGCATATTTAGAACTGTCATTTCAGCCCTTAATCATAATTCAATTATTGTACTAGTTATACTTTTTATATTTCCTCCGTTCTTAAATAAATGCAACAGTCAATATTTCACATTTGCTGAGACACAACTTTGACCATCAATATATATATATATTTCTTGATTAGTAAAAAAATTAGTAAAATTAGATTTTGAAAATTTACACTGAGACAAATTTAACAATATTTTTTTCAAAAATATATATTAATACATTAATAAATAAAACGTAGTCAAAGTAGAACATGTGAATAGTGTAAAAGTCAAAGTGTTGCATTTATTTAAGAACGGAGGTAGTATTTCGTTAGTGTTATCGAAGAAGGAAGAACACTATTCATGCAACAATGCTTGATGTACCCACCATTATACCCACCTTATACCCACCATGTTTGTAAAAGTTTTTTTCTATCTGTGCAAATTTTGCACAAACAAAATATTGTGTGTGAACCTAGCTCAAAGACAAAAAAAGCCTTGCACAAACATGGTGAGTATAAAAAGGGTATAAGAGTGTAAAAATAACTTTTTTTGTTATTCATGATACTCCACACACTTTAAATAAGCCCATGATGGAATCTAGAGTACGGATACATTTGCATTTTTTAACTTCCTTTTGATAAACAATTGTAAGACAAACGATTTTCAAATAGGGCTTAGTCATGTGATGACCTCTATCTTGTTTTGGTACTAAGTTAGGGTGCCCAATCATTAACAATTGATAAAAAAATTACGATTGCATTTGAGGGGACCACTTCTCATTTTTCACCTTAGAACCAACATTCTCAAGTATCGCATATGTCCTGAAAGAGATGAGCAAAAAATTTTTATCAAAAGGCAAAAGTATAGAACAAGAGAAAGAAGGATGATTCAATTTTTACGAGGTTTTTTCTAAAATATTACTAATAAAAAATGGGAAAATAACTTTAAATAATACCAACTATCTTCCATGAACCAAGAATAATACCAACTTTAGAAATAACTTTTAATAATACCAACTATTTGAATATCTATCAAAAGTGATACATAACAAATTTTCACTAAAAAATCATTTATTCAATTCATCAAAAACTAATATCAAAATATCAAATAAGTGACTGTATTTTCAAATATCAATTATTTGATGATATTTGATGATTTGATCTTAGTATTTGATGTATTAAATGGCTGAATTTTTTATAGAAAAGTGTCTCTATTTTATTTTTGGTTCACATTCAGATAGTTGGTATTATTAAAAGTTATTTCTAAAGTATGTATTATTATTGATTCATTGAAGATAGTTGGTATTATTTAAAGTTATTTTTCCATAAAAAATTACAAACAAAAAATGACTTCATAACCTTTATTGATAATAGTTGTGTTAAAAGTTTTCACTTTAGTCACTATATTATAGTATCATAATACTTTAAATCATAAATATAGTCACAAAAAAATCAAATCATATTTTCATCCACCACTTTTGTGGGAGTTTTTCTTTTTTCATTTATCTCTCGTGCCACATATACTAAATGGTGCATATTAGGAACCGGACCTTACCCGCCCCATTTGAAACGGGCCGATTTGATCGGAGTTCTCAGTTTTTTTATAGTAAAAACAATATCGATGTGGTAGCAAAGTATCTAGTAGTTATAATATTCTCGAACTAATTAAGTATCAATTTCACCATAATATAATACCGATTCAAAATAATAAAAAAATATAAAAAAACATTTTAAATTGGTTAAGAAAATATCTTACCACAAATCTATAAATTGAACAATACAAAAGCACCCATATTAAATAACACCAAAATTTAAAATGTAGAAATTTAGACATAGAATAGTTACCGCACATAATTGTCTATGAAAACAATTTAAAGCTTCCTAAAATCTCAAAATATAAGTAAAATTAAGATAATCAAATAAATATGTAACACTTCATTAAGTAAGAGTCTTCGTTCACAAAAAAATACTACTCCCTCCATCCTGAGAACTTTCCCGTTTGAGTAACGATATAACAACTTAATCCCTGTTCACACTATGATTATTTTTAGTAAATAAAATTTACATATTTAGAAACTACATTAAAACCACTACAAAGCCTGATAAAAAATGTAAATTTGATAAAAATTTGATATATAAAGTAAAAGATTAAAGATGATTTAAGTTGTCCATGTGAATAGTGGACGAGAACCTTCTAATGTAGCAGAGGTAGTACGTATTAACTAAAGAAAGTTTGATGCATTTGGAATAAAAAACGGGGGGGGGGGATAATTTAGGAGTTTATAAACTACAAAAAATTACGGGATTGACACAGATTTATCTATGATTTCGTGCAAAATTGTTTTTGGCACGGATTTCAGATATCCCTGCCAAAATCCATGGCAGCTTTAGGAAATTCCTTCCAAAAATCTTTGTCAATCCCGTATTTTTTTTGGAGTGTATATGGACTTCAAAACTTTTTTAACAGACTGCCGAGTTTATTTAATCTATAGTCTTTGTCTAGACGCAAGAACATGAAACTCTTTCTTTGTTATTAGTATATTTTATAAAATGTACTCCGTAATAGAGTTTTTATAAAATAACATTATAAAACAGGTCGGCCCGGGTACCGTTTTTTTCAAATTTTAAGACTCGTTCGATTCCTAAGTTTTTAAAGACTTGCCCCGAATCGAACAGTTATTTGAGTTTTCTAAAATTAGGATCCGCCCCTAACCCAACCCGAACATGTATTACTCGACCCGACTCGACCTGCGGTTCCTATACCCGTTTGTCCACCCCTACTACATACTCCCTCCGTCCCTTTTTAGTTTGCCAAACACAAATTTTCAAGTCAAAGTTGTTCAACTTTGACCGATTATATATTTATACACAGTAATATTGATAATAAGAAAATGGGAAAAGTACGGAAAAATTACTTGTGGTTGGGCCTGTTTTCAGATAGGGTCATGTGTTTCATTTTTTTATTTATCAAAATGGTTCATGTGTTTGAATTCCGTTATCACAAGAGTGTCACACCGTTAAAAACGTCTGAAAAAAACTGTTAAAAGTAAATTCGTTTTTCAAAAGTGCCCGAAAAATTAAAAGAAAAATACCGCATGGGGCACCTTAATATACGACCGCTAGACCATCTTTCTTTTTTGTTTTCAGCCACCCTTGTCACCAGAAAATCCACCAGAAAAGTGATATTTGCGAAATCACTTTTAAAAAATAATTCAAACAGATCTGAAAAATACAAAGGCGAAGGTGGTTTGAAGGTCATCTTGACGAGGCGCACCTTTCGGTATTTTCTTTTAATTTTCCAGACACTTTTGAAAAACGGAGTTACTTTTAACGGTCTTTTTAGACGTTTTTAACGGTGTGACCCTCCTTTGATAACGGAATTCAAAAACATGAATTACTTTGATAAAAAATGAAACACATGACCCTATCTGCAAATGAGTCCATCACAAGTATCTTTTCCGTACTTTTCCCTAAGAAAATTATATGAAAATGTTCTTTGTTAAAAATAGTATCATAAAAGTATCAATTTATTAACTTTTACATATATATTAGTTAAAATAATATATATAAGTTTATCATCTCTGACCAGAAAGGTTTGACATATAAAAAGGGAGGGAGGTGATATGTTCTTAACCGTGCCACCCGGAGAAGTTGGAATGGGGACGTTTGTGAACTTGTTTGACAGTGGATGTACAAAAGAAAAGGTGAACGAATGACCGCCACTTCCCCTCATTCAGCGTCCCTTGCCTATAAGCAAAAGCCGGAGATAAATAACAATAAGACAAAATCACACGAAGAAGATTGATAAGAATGGTAGCTGGCTGGCAGGTCGGATTGCGAGAAAGGTGAGTTTTTTTTCTTGTGAATTATTTCCAACTCAGAACGAAGGAAAGCCACAATAGAGCTCAAAATTAAAGAAAAATTCAGATGGGTTGGAGAGGGGTATTGGGTTTCGAGTATGGGATTGTGCAGGCGCCGTTAGGACCGGATATCTCCGGCCCGGAGCTTGTTGCCGCAGTTGCAAATGCCGGTGGGCTTGGTCTTCTTAGAGCCCCTGATTGGGTCTGTACCAGCCTATTTCTCCTTACCCCCATTTTCTCTGGGGAAGATAGAACTTCGAAATAAAAATTCACATCTCCTCTTGAATTAATTACCTTAGGATTTTATAATTGTTTTGATGACTAAGCCCAATCTTTTGCATGAATGTTGAAATTATCTTTCCACACAGTTCTTCATTTGTAGTTTGGGAATGCTCAAAGACTGGTAACCCATTTGATGTATATCATATATCTCATTATAATGTAGGATAAAGGTACAGATCAAAACATATTGTGTTACTCACTTACTCTGACCATCTAGTTGACCATATAGTTTGAACTTCAAGTCTTAATATAATATCAACATTTGTAAAATATAAACTCCTAACAGTGTGGGGATATTCCTCATTAGTGGTTGCTGATCTTCTTAAATAAAAGGAGTTGAAACATTTTAACCTTCTAAGACACATAGTAGATTGTTTAGACTACAAACATCTCTTGTTGTCACTTGTAGCATTCTTTCAGTTGAAATTTCATGGCATTGATTTTGGTTGCAACAGGAGGATCCTGATCACATAAGGAAAATCATAAGAGAGACAAGAGCCTTAACAGACAAACCTTTTGGAATAGGAGTGGTTCTTGAGTTTCCTCATGAAGAGAATATTAAGGCTATATTAAAGGAAAAAGTTGCTGTCTTGCAGCTTTACTGGGGTGAATGCACAAAGGAGCTTGTTCTTGAGGCTCATAAAGCTGGGGTCAAAATTGTGCCCCAAGTAAGCCCCCTCCCCCCTCATTATGTGGTGAATAAATTACTTTTAGTTGTTCTAGTATATTAATGGTTTTGTCTGAGCATCTTATTCATATTAAGTCATCCTATCCAAAGATGGAGGCACTGGTTTCTAAAGATTTAAAGGAGTACTAAGTGCTAGTCAGTAGTGCTATAATTTATTATTGACTGAAGTCAACTAACTTGGTCATGATGTACACGTCTTATAAAACACGCTGAAAGATTGAATCTGATGGATTTATATTCTAATCTAAACCCTTATGAACTCCTATATATTTCTTTTAAGTTTCTGACCTGATACTCTTAACCCGTAATTATGCTTTCGGAGTTATTAAGAGCTGAGTGGATTATAAGTACTATACTTTTTTAGGTGGGGAGCTATGAAGAAGCAAAGAGAGCCTATGATGTTGGTGTCGATGCTATTATGGTTCAAGGCCGGGAAGCAGGAGGGCACATTATTGGCCAGGTATAACAATAAATGACTTTTGCTCAAAGAGCAAGTAAATTTTGCCTTCCTCTGTGAGAAGATGCGGGTTTAATTCCCCTATCCGCACAATATCCAAATTAAAGAGGAAATTAATGGTTTGTGTTGTTCTCAGGATGCCTTAATGACCCTTGTGCCGAGAGTGTTTGATCTAGTTCGTGACCGAGGCATACCAGTTATAGCCTCCGGTGGCATAGTGGATGAGCGTGGCTACGTTGCTGCTCTTGCACTTGGAGCTCAGGGTGTTGGATTAGGCACAAGGTTTGGGACATTATGTAACACATAATACACTGCACCAGTACATTTGAAATATCTCACATGGGATATAAAAATAATACTACCTCCATCCCATATTGGTTGTCCACTTTCAATTTGGCACGATTATTAATAAAGTGGTTGAAAATTAAAAGTTGTGGTTGAGATTTGAGTAGAATAAAGTGAAATGATAAGAACCACATAATTCTTGCCAAAAAGGGAAACACATTCATTTTGGGACAACCCAAAAAAGAAAGTAGGACACCAAAATGGGACGGAGGGAGTAAGATATTGGTTTACTCATATTATGGTGACACTTCAGCATGAAATCAGAAGTCTTAATGTCATATTATAGCTTGCTAATCCAAACGAGCATTTGCCCCTGGCTTAAATAGGCAAGGGGAAACACAAGCCACTCCTAGTTAATTAAACCTTTTTTCCATGTGTGAAAATTTGACTAATAATGTTTCCATTAGTGAATTATTTTTCTAGGACCACCCCATATTCAGTTTTTTTTGGGGCTACGCCACTAGGTGCGTAATAAACATAATTTTTTAAAATTGTTCGAGCCGCCATTTCCCAGGGATGTAATGCCGTACATCAGATCAATAAAAACACATCGAGCCTTACATAAGTCTTAGCATAACGTTGGTTGGGTCATGATTTTAGGTTCGTTGCAACAGTGGAAAGCAATGCTCACCCAATTTACAAGAGAAAGTTGGTGGAATATGAGGAGACAGAGTATACAGACGTGTTTGGTCGTGCAAGGTGGCCAGGGGCACCCCACCGTGTCCTAAAGACTCCGTTCTTTATGGAGTGGAGAACTCTCCCTGGTCATGAGAACGAGACGAGTCAACCTATCATGGGTTATTCGATCATACATGGCAGGGTAAATAGATTTCTCTCACAATGATGAGTAGAGAGGAGGAATGGTAGTCTTTGCCATAGATGGCTTGGAAGATATGTGACTTGTTCTTTCTTGTCAAACAGGAAAAGGAAATACGACGCTTTGCAGGACCGGTCCCTAATGGACAAGCAACCGGAGATATAGAGAGCATGGCAATGTATGCTGGTCAAGGTGTTGGTCTTATAAAGGAAATTCTGCCGGCCGGTGAAGTGGTCCATAGGCTGGTCAGTGGAGCACAATGCTTGATCCATGAACAGGCCAGCGTGAGCACAAAACTGTGAAAGCATGAGTGTAGCTGCAAACCAGTGTTAAAGTATCTTTAAATTGTATTTGTATGGTACTAGACTTCTCTGTGCTTTTAAATAAAGAGTAATTATGTTTTTCTTCAAATGATAAACTCATTTGAATAACATGGTAGAGCATGTTTGGTACGGGTAAAATTTGTATTAGACTTTAGCAACATGTTATCTAAATTTGTTCAGTTATTTAAAATTATTGATGAGATATACTGCGTATAAGTTAAATTGTAGTCCGTATTTCTTTGATAAACGAAAACTATCTACTTATTTTACAGGCACTCCAATGTAAGAGCCTAGAAATATGTAGTAGGTATACACCGTTGCATGGACATCATGGATGTCGCGGCATGAAGAATAGTCTTGGACTTTATGGTGTTTGATTAGCAACACCCTTTGTACTTTGTTTAGAATTTAGCCTCTGATCTGTGTGCGTGCATGGGCAGCACCGATGTATTTTTTGAACCTCTCGATGGGCGAAGTATTATACTTGGTTATTTTGGCATAGATTAGATCAAATAAAAACCTCATTTCACCCTCACCTTATGTGGGGGTGGGGGAGGTTTTAGGAGATCTAGGATATGTGATGTATAGTTTTTCTGGGTGTTAATATATATTTACATTTCATCCAAAAAAAAAAAATAGAAAGGGGTTGCTTCACCGAACCCTAACATCTACGGGGAGAAGAAAAACATCCATGGCAAAGAGGCTGTTCAGCGGTGAAGGTCACGAATTTCAGGTTTATAACCAGATTCTTTGAGATCGGGTCTTCCCGAATGAAAAATAAAAAATTGAATCTCAGTTTCTGTTGCTTGTTGTTATAATTGTTTTTGCATTTATTTAATCGAAACACAACGACCCTTTTTAATTAGAACAACCCTACAGCAGAACCAATGGTTTAAAAGATGATTTATTGCTTGATTCCCTAAACAAGAACTACGGAGTACATTTTTTGGTCAGGGTGACAGAAGGACAAGCTGTAGAGCTGTTAATCCTGGAGATGGTGAAGGCATGAGTGCTGCTGATCTAGGTAATTAATTATAAACAGATTGTATTAATGACTTATGGCCGGTTATTTAGTACTCCGTGGCAAATAAGTAAATATGAATCGTGTTGTGTATGGTTGTTACATTGAGCTTGCAGTGTGCCTCAAGTTGTTGAGGGAGGGTGGTAATGAAGACCTATTGTTGGAAATACTAGCAGGCTACCAAATAGTCGAAATGCAGTTCAAGCGGGGCTGGTTTGTCACCTTTGGCACTCAGTCATCTCTCAGCAGCAGTTTGTTCCCAGGTTTATAGGACTCTGGGAGCAAAAGAAGAAAGAGCAGCCTTATTCCATCATATTCTGCAGAGTAGATGTTTTTGAGGATGTTCCAGATGCGTATTATCAGCCCATCTGCAAACTATTTTCGAATGAATCCTTGGTTCTTCATGGGGGAGAAAAGGAAGAGACGAAGACATCATGGAGAAGTTATCCTCCTTCAGGCAGTGGTGGCATCCAGCCGCCATCATCCAACATGGTCATAAGAGCATCTTGTGGTGACTTGCTGCTGTTGTCGCATAGATCTGAGCCATACTCCTACTATCTCTGTAACCCAGTTACCAAACAGTGGTTCCATCTCCCCCATGTTGATATTGGAATATTCGTGATTGAGTTTGCAGTTGTACGCATGCCGCCGCTGCCCTCCGCCCGGAATAGCTGTGGCAGTCATGAATCCAAGGTGGTCTTCATTCATTATCCCCATGATTATAGAAAAGATAATCTTGCTGACAGTTGGAAGTGTGGAACGTCAATTTATTGTTCAAAATCAAGAAAATGGAGTGTTAATTCATGGTTTCGATGTCGTATACCTACTACCAGTAAGAACCCTAGGTTATTCATTAACCCAATCACTTGTCATGGAACTATTTATTGGTTAAATTGTGATGATGTTCCTGACTATGTCATTGCCTGTGATTTGGTGAACAAGCCCCACTCTACTGCCTTTATTGACCTTCCTGAAGGCTCTCCGTCTGGTGGTGGGGGTGTTGTTTCACTAGAGTTGGGTGCTGTCCTGGGGGAACTGAGATTATTCAATGTATTCTGCCCATCGTCAGGTGACCAGCAGCAGCCTCAGCATCATGTTGTTGTTAAAATTTGGGAGTTGAATCACAGAACCAATTCTTGGACTCTCGTTCATGACACATGCTTCAATAATAAGCCTCCACCTTATGGCTTCCTAGCAGCAAAAGAAAACATGTTCCACATCCGTACGGTTGCTTTCCATCCGCATGATGGGAATGCGGTCTTCTTGGTAGTTGACCGTTGTGTTTTCCAGTATCACATTTCACAGGGTGAGTATAATAAAGTCCATGAACTCTGTGCTGTTTTACAGAATGAGAAAGGCGAGTTTTTTCATTCCATGCCTGCAAATGAGTTTATTACATCCTTCACTCTCCTCCACTCTATCTGGCCCACCACCATGTTGCTCTCTCCTTCCAAAAAGTGAAAGAGTGATGAACATTATGGGTTTGAGATTGTAATCTTGACCATGAGGGGTGTCAACATTTGTCCTGGTTTTTTCAGTTTTGTACACTTTATCCTTATATTTGATTTTTTCCCTCCAGCCACTCCCTTTATCAGATTTGTGCGCACTCTTTTTTACTCTAAAAAAATTTGGAATATAAAAACAGTGGAGTGCAGTTTTATTGCTCGAAACAGGTCATCCTTTGTATGCAATTTCAATAAAATAAAGTATTCTAATTGAAATCCTAGTAAATTTGGAATATAGAAACATCTATCTCCCCAACTAGTAAACTGTCAGCCGATGGATGCTTCCATGCTTTTGGAATATGACCAATCTGAACTTTAAGCAAACTTACACTAATGTCTTTATCTTTCTCGTCCACCTCTTTTTGTGGGCATTTTCTTGTCTACAGTTGTTTGATTATCACTGGTAGCTATTTCAAATTCGATTCTTTCAAACAGATTAGCAGCAACTTCCTTGCTCTGGATGTAATCCATCCATCTTAGCAAGTGTGGTAATTTTACTTTATCCTCTTTTGAAAGACCAATGTCATTATCCTTTCACAAAGCAGCAGCGCTTGGGGAAGAACCTCACCACCCTCATTTACTTTGTCTGCTACCTTTGTTTTAGTCATATACTCGGTATTTGTCCTCATCTTTTGAGCTTATTCAGAAAGCAGCATGTATTGGAGCTTTTAGTGATGATTTCAGAAACACTTTAAAGAATTAAAAAGCACTTAATAGTGCTTTGGAAGTAGCACGTGTAGGCCTGGGATACTTTTGAAAAGTACTTTCCAAAGAAGTGCTCCATACTCTTCTAAGATTAATACATTGATGTTTTTTAAGCTAAAGTAATTCTATAGTTAAAAGTTTGATGATTCTCTATCCTTATTTTTAATTCATTTAAAACAAGTGTTGCGTGGTTTTATCTGTTTCAAAAGTCAATAAATGATTTTGACTATTGATGAGGATGATACATTTTTTTTTATTCTAAGATAAAAGTCTTGTTTTTTTTGCTTGAGGTGAGTACAGCTATGAAAGACCAATGTCATTATCCTCTTTATATCTTTCTCTAGGCTGCCCAAAAATTGTTCTGGATCCAGTGATAGTTCATTGCAGAGAGGAGTAGCAATTGTATGCTACCTTATAATTTTTCTTAATTAAAAGTTAGAACCGGACAGTTTGGTTCTTACTGTTTAGTTAGTTTTTTTACTTTTGTTTTGTGTTGCTAAACCAGAACTACAATTCTCTGTTTTAACAACATATATGAAGGCATGAAGCAATACATGTATGTTCCTCAACATACTTCGTATTAACTAGTCACTACACCCGTACATTGCACGGGGTTCCTCTATATGCATATAAAATAATGCTATAATTGAAAAGAACAAAATGGTCACATGAATCATACTATATGAAAAGACACAAAAAGGTTAGATAAACAAACTAACAGTGTTGATCTAATGTGATACTCCGTTTTTGTTATGCATCACCATCGAAGTCACTAATATGATAGATTTAAAAAAATTAATAAGATGGAGTGAGTAGTGAATGAATCACATTTGTGCAGAAGGTTGATTGGAATTAAGACATACTTTTCCGCAATGAAAAATATCAGGATTTTTTTTTGTTTTTTAGCTCAAATTTTAGGAATGCATGTTTTGCTTACACATAATCTTGTCTATTTGGAAAGGAAAAAATCTATATAATCTTTTTATGAAATATTTTAAATATTGATAATGTGGTAAAGAAGCAAGCATGTTAAAGACTTGACCCACATAGGACTGCATTTCCATGCTTACCAATAGGTGAAACAAGTTTTAAGCTACAAACGGTCATTCACTAATCCCCAAAAGCAGACCACTAATTCACGTGTAATGTAATAATAGGATGGACCCGGTCCTAAGGATTACTTGGTGAAGCTCGGGCCTCTCGATTAAGGGTCCCAGTTAGGGGCGGAGCCAGAGCACTGGGCCGCAGTGGCCGGTTACAAAGAATATTTTCGGGAAAAAATTTAGACCGGAATTTTTTACACTAAAAATTAGAGATATTACCCAAAATGGGACTAAAAAAGTTTGGAAATTCCAAAATAGGACTTCCATGTTTTTATTTCCAAAATAGGACTAATTACTGTCATGTTTTGGCAGTACCAGACTTCAAACATGACAGTATTTTCCAAATCTGGCAGTAATTAGTCCTATTTTGGGAATAAAAACATGACAGTCCTATTTTGGAATTTTCAAGCTTTTTAGTCCCATTTCGGGAACTTTCCCTAAAAATTAAGGTAATTTTAAAATTTGGGGTGGGCCAGGGCCTAGGTTGGCCCACCTCTAGCTCCGCCCATGGTCCCAGTCACGTTCTGAGTACCCGACCGATCCTGGACCGGTTTCACTTTTTTTTTGGGGGGGGGGGGGAGGGGGGAGGGGGGGTTCTAATTATAGTTATTTAATAAATTTAGATTGATAGAAATAAAAAATTACATATTAAAAATGAAATGTATTTTTATGTCAACTTTAAAGTGAATTGTATATTTCTAAAAAGCTACTCCGTACTTAATTAAAAAAAAAATCTAAAAATGTTTAATACTTCAAATTTGAAGTGTACATTAGGGTTACAAAAACAAGTAATTGTTAAAAATATCTAAACAACAATAGAGAAGTGTTACATATATCTCCTACTCTTCGGAACTTCCGCTTCCTTGATCAG